GGGGGGGGGGGGGGGGGGGGGGGGGGAGAGCTCCCGGGAGGGGGGAGGGGCCCCCGGTCTTTGGAGGAAAAAGAAATCCTGGCGGTTCGTCCAGTTTCTTTTGCAGGAGCAAAAGGCATGTGCCACAGGCAGACAGATGTTTTCAGTTTCGTTTCCGCCGATCCAGATTGCAGAAATGAAAGTGAAAGATGGAGGGAGTCCGAGCGGAGAAATGGAAGAGGAGAGACGCATCTGCAAGAACTGGTAGGAAAACTTCAATGCTAATCTCAACTTCTCACCTAGGGGTCTATCGTCAGAGCAGTAGCTAGAGAGGCATAGATGTGCTTTGTTTTTCTACAAAGGTCTTTCCAGAATCTCCTGGGGGGCAGGCTGGAGGGAGGAGAAAGCTTTTGGAAGTTGGGCAGGAATGAGGAAGTCCAGCCACTAAACTCAACCTCAGCAGGAATAATGTGGGAAGTCCCTAAACTCAACCTCAGCAACTTTAAGATATGTGGACTTCAACTCCCAGAATTCCCCAACCAGCTATATACAGATAGTTCTTGACTTATAGAGCCAATATTTATTTTGCTAAGTGAAACATTTGTTAAGTCAGTTTTGCTCCATTTTACAATCTTTCTTGACCTGGTTGATAAGTGAATCATTGCAGCTGTTAAGTTAGTAATGTGGTTATTAAGTAAATCTGGCTTCCTCCTTGGCTTTGCTTGTCATCACATGACACTGCAACCTCATAAATATAAACCAGTGTGGCCAAGTATCCAAATTTCGATCACATGACCAAAGGGATTCTGCGATGGTCATAAACACGAAAATCAAGTTAGAAGTCAGTTTTTTCAGCACCGTTGCAACTTTGAATAGTCAGTAAATGAACTGTTGTAATTCAAGGACTTCCTGTATTTTTCTTTACAGCTTCAGTTGATTCTGGTCCATTTTCAAATTCCTTTTTTTTTGTTTTTCTTTTGCTAATGATCCATAATATCAAATACCCCATTCTGTCCAGTTTTATAAGAATGAGCAAAACTCAAGCCTGGGTATTAATTAATTTCCAACATTCCACTGGGTTTTGTTAGAAGAAATAACCTCCTGGGTTCAGTTCCAAGTGGGGAGAAAGACACTGGAAACATGGCGGCTGTTTGGAAAGATGGTTTTTAATAGTGGACAGGACCACGTGGTTTGAAGATGTTGGGTGAAGAGGAAGAAAAAAGGGGACAGATCCTAGACTTTTATACCTACTCTTGAGCCCCACTTTAGAGTTTCCTGTTCCTGTACAAGAAACGTGTTCTGATTGGTGGTCAGACTCCCAGCGGGCAGGAGTCTTAACTAACTTTGTAGGCTGTCTGTCTTTTGAGTCCCAGGTTTGGTTGAGCCTTGCTGGGTGATGGTGTAATTAAAGGGCTCTGGGATTCCTATTAAGGCTCTGCCTGAAGTAGGTAGATCTTTGTTATGTAGAATAGACTAGCTCAGACCTTAATGGCCCATTGATAAACGTGGAGCAGGAAGCTGAAAGCAGCTGCTTTGTCTTTAAAACATATTTTTCCTTTTCTCATCCAGGGAGATATAATACTCCGCCCCCTTAATATTTCCCAAAATAGATATAGATATAGATACTTTATTTGTATGCCGCCCTTTTCCCTGAGGGGACTCAGGGCGGCTCACAATTCAGGGGGAGGGAGGACAAACAAGTTACAAACATAAAAACAATACATCATTAAAAAGCACAACAGTCATACTATTCGAGTGGGGTTGGAATCTTTAGCCCCAGGCCTGTCGGGACAGCCAGGACTTAAGGGCTACGCGGAAGGTCTGGAGGGTGGTGAGGGTACGTATCTCCACGGGGAGTTCGTTCCAAAGGGGAAATAGTTCACCCCTCTAGGAGAGGGAGGAGTGGGTGCTAACTTCCCACAGTTGCAAGGAGTAGAAAAAAGAATCGGTCTATTTACATCAGTCTTTTTACCAAAATCAAAGCTTCAGACATATTGATGACCTTTCCAATGGCCGTCCCCCCCCCCTCTTCTCTTCCTAGCAAGAGGGATGTGGCTGCAGTGAACTTCTCCCTCCATGAGGCTCATTGCATGCGGTTTCTTGCTGTCTGTCCCAAGTGTGAGGAACTGGTTGCTTCAAAGGACATGAAAGAGCATCTTGCCATGGCCCACCAACAGGTAGGGAGGGTCTTCTCTTTGCTAACCTTCAACAGGAGGCAATCTGCGGGCTGCTGTCTCTTAAGAGTTTATATAAACATAAACTCTCGTCATACCATGTTCCTGTTCCAGGTGGTGGGGTACGGCAGTGGCAATCCCTGCCTCCTGGAACATGCCAAAAACACGATGCGCAGAAGCCAAAAACAGGGCGTGCATAGGCCGAAAATGCGATGCACGGTGGCCCAAAACGCGACATGTGGAGATGGCGATGGGCTGTGGTGATCCCCACAGCCTTAAACAGCTGATTGGCGATATTTTGGGAGGCCGATCCAACCATCAAACAGCTGCTCATTCTGAATCAGGCTGTGATAACATGCTAAAGCTGACCAGGCTGTTTGCAGTAAGGACGCTAGCCAAATAAATACTGATGGATGCTGATAAGCAGAGGCGGATTTTTTTTTCTTGTTTTCCTCCCCAAAAACTAATGTGCATCTTATACTCCGGAGCGTCTTATACTCTGAAAAATACAGATATATACCGCTTCACAGTGCGTTACAGTCCCTCTCTAAGAGGTTTACAGAGTCAGCCTATTGCCCCCAACAATCTGGATCTACATTTTACCGACCTCGGGAGGATGGAAAGCTGAGTCAACCTTGAGTCGGTGAGACCTGAATTACCAAACTGCTGGCAGCCTGCTGGCAGACGGTGATCAACAAAAGTAGCCTGCAGTACTGCATTCTAACCACTGCGGCAGAAGATAGTTTTCTGAAGGCTTCCAGAGGGAAGACAATGTGGGAATGGACATGATTGAGGTTGACCCAGAAAATCAATAGATAATTAATTGAGAGCACCATCGCCTAGCCCTATTTTTCCTAAATCCTGTCTAGAAGGAAAACTCTTCATCTTTCATTTATAAAACTAATTTAATACAATACAATATAATACAATACAATACAATAGCAGAGTTGGAAGGGACCTTGGAGGTCTTCTAGTCCAATCCCCTAGTCCAACCCCCTAATTTATCTCAAATTAACCTTCATATACCTTGCCTTTCCATGATCGTCTCCAAAACATGCATGTACATCCATCAATGGGCTGAACATTGCAGGCAACCAATAAAATGTATCCCAAACAAGACATGCTCTTTGGCAAAATCCCAACATCTTTGGAGCAGATCAGTGCTGTGTCCTGCCGTCCTGGTTTCCAGTGGGTGGCTGTGTCTTTGGGTAAAGCAACCGATTGCCTGTTTTCCATCCTCCCTTTCCCTCTTCCAGGTCAGATGCACACTCTGTCACCAGATGATGCAACAGTATCTGCTGGAGCACCATGAGGTAAGGTGGACATCTGTCCCTGCCTTTGCACAAGGTTTGTGGGATGGGAAAGGTCCCTGTGCTGGGAAGAAGAGTGTCTTCCTTGAGTTCACTTACGACGTGTGGACTGATGTGAGTGGAAAATAGTCATTACAATATCTCATTTTCACAATGGAGATGAAATGCCATCAAGCTCTTATGACCTGGCACCTAGGTAACTTCAGAACGACCGTCTCCAATAAGAATCAACCTTCCCAGGTGAATTTGCTTGTAGTAGCAATTTGGGAAGGACAGAGACCAGAAATGCTCCTTCTGAGTGGTAGCACTCTTCTTTGAAACAGAGTCACTCTGGAACAAGAACGGAGTAGCCTAACTGGAGTGGCCTATCTGGAGTAGCCTCCTGGAAGACAGACCAGAAAGTTTGGGGGTGAAATGAGATGTCATTAATAGTAACTGGGATATTGTCTTGTGCCCTGGAATCTTTAACTGATATAGTTGTGTTAACGCTCTAAATGGCAAGAGATGGGTGGTCCATAAATTTAATAAGAAATGAAGCGAATAGGTGAGAGGATGTTTCTGATGGGTGTCCATTTCATACATTACGGAGCAGTACACCAGGCTTGTTACTTAGTGTGAAAGTATTTGCACATGCCTAGTACAATTTAGTGTTAATCACAGAAAACAACTGAGAATATAGGGGCCTGGAGAGTTTTTATAGGCTTGCATTTTATGGGAATTCTGCCTCTTTGGTCAGTACATGCTGTATTTCATGCATTGGGTGAACCCAGAAAACAGACAAGAGCAGTTTGGCGTAGTGGTTGAGGCACCAGGCTAGAAAGATCAAGAGTTCTTGTCCCACCTTAGGCAGGAAAAATATCTAGGTGACTTTCGACCAGTCACTCTCAGCCCAAACTACCTCACAGGCAGGGATGGGCCTCAAAAATTTTAGCAAGCCATTGGGTGGGTGTGGCCATGGTGGGTGTGGCCTCCCGCACCACGGCGGGGGTAGTGGTATTTGCTTTCCCCAGGCTCCGGAGGCTTTTCTCGAGCCTCCAGGAGGGCAAAAACAACCTCACCAGGGTCCAGAGGTCCTCTGGAAGTGGGAAATAGGCCAGTTTCTAGTCTTCCTGAACTTCTGGTAGGCCCATTTTTTGCTCTCCCCAAGCTTCTGTACATGCCCTGCACTTACCTGCATCCAAAACGAGCCGCATGGGGACTCCTGTGAGGGGCAGGGTGGGTGGGGCCAGCCAGGAGTGGGATTTGGGGGTTCTCTGAACTGCACAGAATCTTAGTTAGAGGTTCTCTCAAACCCGCAGCAGCCCATCCCTGCTCAAAGGGTGGTTGCTGTGGGGGAAATAGGAGGAGAAAGGAATATAATCCATGCTCATTGCCCTGAGTTATTATAACAGTAATAGAGGTGGGATAAAAATATATGACTTTTTTCAGACTTGGATTTCTGCAATGTACAAGACATCATATAAGGCAAGATGTCATCCACACCTCCTGGGCTCCATAGCTAATTCTGACTGTCCAAGGTTCCTCCTGCAAGCTCTGAGGCCTTAAACGCAACTGCAAAACCTGAACTTTGGGTCCTTTGTTCTTCCCACCCCTGCAGGCTGAAGAATGCCAAGAACGCTCCGTTAAATGCCACTTCTGCGAGCTGGAGCTGCCATTCCATAAGCTGCAATCTCACCTGGATGCATGTGGCAGCCGCACCACCATGTGTTGGGATTGTGGCAAATACGTCATGCACAAAGCCCAAGAGGGACACAAGCTCACCTGCCAAACAGGCAATAGGCTGAGGGCCCCTGGTGAGTTTCACGCACCCGTGGCTATCCTTGCTAGCTTTGTCCATTCTCCCGCTCCATTCTCCCGCTCCATCAATGCCCTTTTGAAATGCAACCTGGGAATTGATGGAGATTGCCCCACCCTTTTGCATCTAGGCATTCGCTGGCTGGGGAATTCTGGGACTTGAAGTCCAGACATCTTCAAGTTGCCAAGGTTGAGAAACACTGATCTAGGAGCTGTGTCTGTTTTTCCCCTGGCCTATGATTAGTAACGCTGAACTTGATCAGAAAGGTCAGCAGTTTGGTGGTTCAAATCCCTAACGATGATGCCCAATGGAGTGAGCTCCCGTTACTTGTCCCAGCTTCTGTCAACCTAGCAGTTCGAAAGCATGTAAAAATGCAAGTAGAAAAATAGGAACCACCTTTGGTG